ATGGTAGTTTTTATATATATATATATATATATATATATATATATATTTATTTTTTATTGTGTACAACTACTAAAATGGCATAGACTGAATTAGAAAACTGACATTTTTATTTATTTATTTTAATTTAAATGTGTACAATTACTAAAACGGCATAGATTAAATAAGAAAATTAATGTTTTAATTTTTTTTAAATGACTTTAAGTTGAAATAATTCACCACACAAGCCATGTTTATCCTTGTTGTGATAAAAACGTGAACCTCTATTTCATGTGACCTGGACCATACTTTTGTTAAATTATATTTTCATCACAACTTTTTCATGTTAGCAACTCCAAAAATATTTTATTTACCTGTTAGTTAATCACATTTTATTGTTTGCATTTAGCATTGTTTTTCCCCGCTGTCAGTGACAAACCAAGGCATTAGAGATGTTAACCATTATTATGCTTTTAATAAAGATCCTGTCTTTTGTCCTCCCTTTTCTTTCTGGAATGTGAATGAAATCCATCTTTTTAAATGCATTGCAGTGCCAGCCTATAAAGTATGGGCAAAATATTTTTATTTAAATGTGTACAACTACTAAAATGGTATGGACTTAATTAGAAAACGGACATTTTTATTCATTTTGTTTATTTAAATGTGTACAATTGCTAAAACAGCAGATTAAATAAGAAAATGTACATATTTTTTATTTCATTTTAATGTATTTTTAGTTGTGTACAATTACTAAAATAGCACAGACCCAGCCTATAAAGTATGGGCTGTTAACAGGTGTCTGAACACGACATGTCTTCTCACTCCACTCCTCTGTTCTTCCTCAACTTAATCCACTGGTATCCTGACCCGTGTTAATCTGCTTACTGCGTGAATTCTGCCGCAGAGCTGCCAAACCTCTGACAGGTGGGTGGTGACGGTCTCGCTGAGGCTGATGGACTCATTTTCTGCCACTGTGTTTTAAGCTTTTCATTGGATCGGTTATCAAGATCAGCATGGATGTGAAAGAGGGGAAAAGGCCAGACAGAGGAAGCGCATAAACATTTAATTTGTGTGTTAACCAGGTTAAGTTTGCCATTTATTTGTAATGGTGTACAGGTAATGCAGTGCATGTGTATTAAAAAGCCAATTTTGGGGAATAAACATGAAAAAGGAGCATGATTAAAAATCTAATCCAAGTGAAAACAAACCTAAATTTAGGTCAGTGATCTGTTGTTTTTCCACTGCGGATAAGGATAAATCCTGCGATTTACTTTCATCATTTTCTTAATAAACCTCTAATTATGATTTTTGCATTTCAGGGCAGTTTAACTAATTCAGTTTAACTAACTAATATTTAATTATTCAGTTTTCTTTTTTGAAATTACAGAAATCTAAAGGATAATTTAATGATAGAGATTTTGTTTGTTTGTTTAAATTGTGGATATGTAAGAAATGCATGACTTTTTTTTTAACTTGACTTTTTAAAGTTTAACTTTCAAATTGCATGTTGATATTAATGTGACTCATGGGTTGAAAATGCGTGTGCAATAAATTATTAGGCCCAACAGAAAAGGAAAAAATGTGAAAATCTGAAATATAGACTCAATAATTAAAACAATAAAGCTCAGAATCCACTAATTACTGTTACACATTCAGTTCATATATGTGGTTTATTCCCTTTCATGTCACTGATAAATTATTCACATTTATTTTAACAATTCAGAGATATCCAATAGACTCTAAATCGACAAAACACATGGCATGACGTCAGGAGCATCAGTCTGAAGTCTTTCTGATGTTTGCAGGGGCTTCATCCATTCACTTTACGTCCCTTTATAACATCCACAGACAGTGAAGACATTTAAACTTCTTCAAATATACAAACAGGAGGCTTCACTAACCTTCTACCAAGGCTGTGGACCTGAATAAGCCTATTTACAGAAACAAATTAATTAATGTGCTCTTTTTTTACGTTTCAAAGTGCAAAGCCAGGGGCGTTTGGAAAAGTTAAAACCTCTGCCATGCAGCCAGACCAAAACACTTAAAAGTCATCCAAACTTCTCCACTCCGCCATGCTATATAATAATGAAACCGCTCCAGCTGTTGATTTGAGCACACTAATGTGATGTAGATCCTGAACACAAGACGTCGACGCAGAAATGCATTGATTTGCATAAATCAGTGGTCAGTTTGGAAGCGTGTCCAAGCCGAGTGATGCAGCATGCTGTTTGGCCCTCAGACGCAGGTTCTCGATGCTTGTGGTTTTGCTGTTGAGGGCCGGTAGAGCACCGGAGCCCTGCAGCAGAGGGCTGCTCCACATCTGCTGGGCCTGGGACAGGCTCTGGTAGTAGGGCTGTGGAATTTGCATAAAATTTGTTACGATTGTGATGTTTCTGGGTCAATTTGACCAAATTTCATGGTTGAAGATGGCTGCAAAAACAAAACAAAAAAAAACATTTTAATGTCATGTCAGTGTCTCAGCTACCTCTATAGGTATTATCATTTACTTTTATGCAATCGATTGATTCTTTTATTTGAAGAAGCTTGTATATATTTTGTGTATTTCACTAGGAATCAAACCCATGATCTTGATGTTGCTAGCACCATGTTCTTACTGTTTGATCTTCAGAAAAACACACAGAATAAATGTTTTTCCAGATTACTTCTTGTTTAAAATGTTTTAAAAATAGTTATAATACTGTTTATAAAATGTAGAATTTTTGATTGTTGGTGGCGGCCATGTGCTGCCGAAACTGTTCCTGCAGACGGAACAAACTGAGAGGAGATGAAGCGTAGGAATTGGTCTGAGTCACTCCACTGCCGACGCCAATGGAGGAGGGAAGAGCTGGAGAACCCAGCGGCTCATCTGAGGAGGGAGAGGACACAATGTAACACTGTTAACCCCAAAGAACCCTTCAGTGAACAGTTTTTTAGTGTCAAGAAATTTGTAATAATATAAAGAACCTTTTTCGCTATAACTTTTTTTTTTTTTTTTTTTTTAATGTGTGAGATCTATTAATGTTCAAAGTTTAATGTTTTACCTGATTGATTGATTGATTGATTGATTTTGCATTTTTCATATTTTTGGTGAATTATTTTGTCTCCAATTTGACCCACACCATAAAAACTGTACCCACATTTTTAACATAATAGTTAAAAAATTAAAATCTGAAATTGCAATCCCATCGTTATTTACTATTATGGTGCCTTTTTGACATTTTTTGGAGCTAGACCCTTCAGTTTTTCTCCTTCTGTGCATCCCAGAAGAAAGAAATGGCGAGGAACTTATGACAGTCATTTAATTTTTGGTGGCACTATTTCTTTAATTCCATTAATTCTTTAATCTATTTGAAGGTGTTTGCTTTTGAGCATTGTGAAGGAAAGATCATATATAGTTCTTCATACCTGATTTAGGGCTGATTGGTTTGCAAGAAGGTGAACTGTCGTCTGTCGTCAGGGTTGGCCCCGCCTCTTTTGTTTCATCTTTGATGGACAGTGACTCATCCTCTCTGTCAGTCATGTCCTCAGCCCCTGACTCCGCCCCTGACTGTTCCGGTGAGGTGACATTCACCTCTTCACTCAACTCACAGGGAGGGGGGCATGTGGGGTCACGCCCATCTGAAGGGGAGGGCGGGCCTTGAGCCTCAACAGGTGGAGCTTCTTCTTTCCCCTCTTCCTGGGCTCCCTCCGTCCCAGAATCCTTCAGCCGCTGAAGCTGCTCTTTCTGCAGGCTGCGCTGCTTCTTGCGGAACTTCGCACGACGGTTTTTAAACCACACCTGTTAGTGTGAAGACATCATTGTTTGCGAAACTTTAAAGATTGACAATCACAGAATTTATTTGAATAGGGTAAAAATCTTAACTAATAGATATCACCATACTTCCTGGTTAATTATTCACAGTACATTAAGGCAATTTTGTATTACAGTTTTCTGAAATCTTATGTTTGAATATGCGAATGAGGTATTGTCTACCTAATCAAGTATGCACTAATTTGCATACATTTCCAGAATTCTGAATGTTGGATAAAACCAAGTTCAATTTTCTTGCTTCATTTTGTCGAAGGGTTTTTAAAGAAGGAATTTTAGATTTATCTTTTTATCACTCCATTAATCCGAAAACACTATCAATCAGAATTTTTTTTTTTTTACCATTTTGACTGTTTTTAGGGGGAAAACAGACAAATTATACATGAACAAATCTATCTGTAGTTACCTTCAGAATATAAATAAGATTTCATAACTGTGAAGTTTAGTGTATTGTAAGTGCTGAATTGGAGTTTTGTCTGTAGTGTGTCTTCTTAAGGTGTAAAGTTTACAATATGTAACAATGTATAATTCTGCTAACAACCTGCAGTTGACATAGTTGAGTGTATGTTTTGGTTGCATGAGGATTTTTGAAATTATATATTTAATTATTATTTTTATTTATTCAATCTTTTTTTTTTTTTTTTTTCGCACTGCACTTTTTTTTGGCTCTTGCACTAGTAGACTAACCCCATTGGCTGGTGTCCTCGCGTGTTGTGAACTCACCTGTACTCGAGCTTCGGGGAGGTTGGTGCACATGGCCAGACGTTCTCGCATGACCACATCAGGGTAGTGAGTTTTCTGGAAAGTTTTCTCCAGCGCCTCCAGCTGCTGCGCGGTGAAGGCTGTGCGGCTGCGGCGCTGCTTTCTGTGCTGAGAGCCGTAGCGCGCCTCCAAGATGATGTCTGAACATGTGCAGGATGATAAATTATGGTGAGTTTCATAATATGTAAATCTATCTATCTATCTATCTATCTATCTATTTACACTGTAAAAAAAATCTGTAAAATATACAGTAAAAAACCGGCAGCTGTGGTTACCGGAATTTTACCGTAAAAAATACAGTAGCAACGTTTTAGGTTTTACGGTTTTAACTTAAATTTACAGTTAAATACCGTAATTTCATTAACTGATATAATGTTAATATAGCAACCTATTGAAGTACTGAAATCTGTTTTGTACCTTTGTAATACACTGATAACCACCAAATGCAGGAGGTGATGAGAAAGTCACATGATGAAACAAAGCCCATCACAAGCAGCTTTTAAATAATAAAATATATAGAAGGTGCACAGTGTCATTCACACAAACACCAAACACCATCATGGTAACACACATGAAACAACCCTAATATACAAAACTGATAAGAAAAAAACTAAGAAACATAGTTATTTCAACAAAAAAACATCACATTTGAAATGTAATGCAGGGAATTCTGGGAATGTCAATTTACGGTTATTCACTGTAAATTATACACTTCCAAAAACGGTATACTACTGTAAAATTACATGTAATGTCCGATACAGTTTTTCACCGTATATAGTAGGGGAATTTACCATTAACCATTTAACAGGTTTTTACTGTAGCATTTTTACAGTCTTTTACTGTTTAATTCACGGTCATTTTTTTACAGTGTATCTATCTATCTATGGTTATTTCAGGTGAGCGGATATGATTTCTTACCTGCCAGTCTCTCCGCGAGCGTGAGCGCATGTACGGAGGGCCGGTAGTCTGGCGCGTGCTGCGCATGCTGGGCGGCCTGTTGATGAAGGTTGTACATGGCGCTCAGAGAGTTCATGGCGTGCAGAGAGTAACCATTCACTCCGTAGTGCTGCATCGCGTCCCTCTGATCAACGACAGACAATGCAGATAATTAGGCTACTGTCATGACTAAAAGAATCATTTTATGAGTTCATGGTGCTTTTAAGGTTGCAGTGTGGCATCTAAAGGGATTTTCAGTGATATTCATATTATAAAGCATGTTTAGCATATGAAGAGAACTCAATAATGCAATTCTATTAGCAGAAATTTATTGTAGTAACCTAATTTATCTACCTCTTCTTTAAAATGTTTAAATACGGCACGTATTTGTTTTACTATAAATACCATAGCCTAAATAATTTATTTCTCGCATATAGTAGGCTATAATTTAAGTTCAGATTAAATCATTTATTCCCCTTCAAAAAAATATTTCCCATATGCTCTCTTTGACAAAATGTGCATTGGAATAGAATAGAAGACTCTTACAACAAAAAAGTTGCGTATCAGTCGTAAACAATATAGGCATCTGTGTGTGTTCATAAACTTTCTCTTCATGTGTTTCTTGTAAAACGCATAGCCTAGCCTACTTATTAAGAGCTTTATATTTACACATTTTAAGCTACGCATTTTTGCCATTTTATTTAATTTGTATCGAATTTTTTTTAAAATTAATTTTCAGTGCTACGTGATATTACACTCTTAAAAATGCTTCAAAAGTGCTTCAAAAGGTTCTTCAAGCGATGCCATAGAAGAACCATTTTTGGGTCCACAAAGAACCATTCAGTCAAAGGTTCTTTAAAGAACCATCTCTATCTTTTTGTAATCTGAAGAACCTTCTTTCGCCACAAACACCCTTTTGTCAAACAGAAAGGTTCTTCAAATGTTAAAGGTTCTTTATGGAACCATTTAGACAAAAAGGTTCTTCTATGGCATCGTGAAGCACCTTTATTTTTAAGATTGTAAGGTATAGGCTATTGTTTCCTTGTCTTTTTAAGCAAACAATATACTGACTTTTTGACGTAATAAATATTACAGAACGATAATGTATCTGTTTTATCTGCCTATAATTGTATCTATTCACCTTTATCAAATTAAAGAACGATAATCTTAATGTAAAAAAATAATAATATGGGAAAAAACGTCGTTTTTGAATTCAAGCAAACTGAGCGAAAACATTTTATTGTTGATGGCGCATGACATTCGACACAAACGATGATGAATGTTTTCGTTCAGTTTGCAAACAGCCGTGAAAATCTCTGAAAGATGGGGTTATGACGGGTCGTCTATCAAATGAAATGTAGGCATTTATATATGAATAATTCGTTTAGATATGTTTAAGACATTTAACAATTTGTATTAATTATTGCGCATTCTCTTTAACAAGAACTGGGCTCGAGGGCATGCTTTTGGCTATATCCATCTGTCATGATAAAAAGAAAAAACCCTTGACCTGACATAATAAACGACATAATAATAATAATAATAATAAAAAGCAGAAGATTGCATTTTTAAAGTATTTTCACAAGGAGAAAGTAAGGATTTTCCATTAGTAAGCTTCAGTTTGATCACTCTTTAATCGGTGATAATTGGCTACAGTGGGATTAATCTCTTTATTAGTCATTATTATTTTTTGAAGCAAGAATAAGTGTAAGCAGCCTGAGGGTTTAGGATTTAGTCCTCACTAAAGAGCCCTTGGCATTTGTGTCACTGACACTAAATTCCCCAATGTAATCATATTCCAGCCACATGGGAATACTTTAATTCGGCTGAACAAAAAGTGCTTTGCTAAACATTTACTTTGCCCTCCCAGTGTTAAGCTCAATCGGTGCTCTTTCTGTCCTTCATCGCCTCTGGGCTGCTTCTGCTGATGTATGTATGCATTTATAAATGCTGCTCCCAGTTGGGCCGCGTCTAGTGTTGGTGCAAATAGCTTTGATTACCAGAGTCAGAGATGATGGGACGCGAGCTAGTTTGTGTTTCACCACACTTGGTGCAAGGTTTTTTTTTTAACATGCCACAACAACACAACAAAATAATTTTATTCGATTGACATAGACGACAGGTCACTAAAATATTATGCTACATGTATTTGTGTCTTCATTTTTTTTCTTAAAATTTTTATTCGATTGACATAGACGACAGGTCACTAAAATATTATGCTACATGTATTTGTGTCTTCATTTTTTTTTCTTAAAATTGTGTGTGTGTTTTTTTTTAAACATTCCATTATAAGTCATTAAGAAACACTGTATACTGCTTAACAAATCAGGGCTTAATGTACATTCAGTATAAATAGTACATATTTGAATATTTAATATTTATAAATGTCATATAAATATATTAATCAGTTTACTAATTTCTAAACTGGATATTGATTAACGAATGATCTATAATGATCTAAATCTATATTAATTTTATTTTAAAAGGTCAGAATTTTATGACTAAATCATCCCGACTAGGTTACAACCGCCAAAGTAATTTGTAAATCCGATAGAAATCGATATTGAACAACTTCACATAATACAACGTCTGTTAAAATTGTTAATGAGGTTTACATATTATTAATCTAGACTTTAAAACGGACTTTAAAAAGACTAAGGGACCTAAAGAATAGATTAAACAAAACTAAATTTAGATTTAAAATCTCAGTCAAAAGGATTTCGTTTTATATGAGTGAGTTAAAACAGATAATTTCTCGGTTTTCTGTTTTATTTGATGAAAGCAGATTTTCACAGGCTTGTATGAATTTTGAAAGTGGTTACTCACCTCTCTGAGAAGTTTTTTTCTTCCTCCGAACAGTAACAACAGCAATTTAGCTGACAATTTACGCAATTAAACAGAAGTGATTTTTGCCAGTCAGTAGTTTTATATCCTTTTGGAAGTCAAAAGTATCCGAGACTGTTTACAGCTGCTCTGTTCTGAGGATTTTTTGATGTTAGTCCTCAAAAAATATCACAGCCTTCCCTTGTCAGCGCGCCAGGAGGTCCCGCCCACCGACCAATGAGGAACGCGATTAGATCACAGAAGAGCCCCATTGGCCAATTTCACCGTCAATCACAGGTTTCCCGTCGCCTTCAGTTCCAGCAGTTTTCACGGGTTCATGCTGACCTGTGCAACGGCTTTTCTGCTGTCTTCATAAATATTAAATCAGTTAAGAAATAATTGCAACATTAGCTGTTATCATAAATAATAATCTAGACGTTAAAGGTTTTTAAACCTCTAAAAAGGTGCTCTAATTGCAATTTATGCTTTTTGAGGTTTCTCATAAACAAATGTGATTTATTATTTTTAAGTCATTAATAAACTGCAAAAACAAATTTACAGTGTAGGAACAGCCTATCAGTTAAACTCCTAAACAACTGTGACACAGTTGTGTTTTTCAGGCTGGATAATTATGAAAAACTCTACATGAGATGTGGAGGGGAAAACTGTTAGGCTATAAACGAATTCACTGTATTATTTGCGTTACACCTCTGACAAGCTGTTTTTAAGAGGGACCGAAGCAAAGAAGGTGGAGAGAGAATGAGATCTCTAATAGATGGCAGAATCTCTCCCGGCCTGGAGGATTTACAGAGACAAGACGCCATCTCAGCCTTTAAAACAGTCTTAAAATGACGGATGGTAAGAGGATTAAAACAATAATGCCCTTCTCTTTTTCAGACTTTTTTTTTTTTTTTTTTTAAGATTTCTTCT